CTTTAGCATAGACTTTGATCCTCAAAACTGGTAAAGAGAGTTCCTTTCTACTCCAATCGCCTTATAAGCGAGCATCACAAACAGAAGTGAAACAATATAGCCCTTGATATCATTACCTAGATTAACCTAACTAAACATATAAAACAGAAAGCAGGTGAAAGGACAACATACACTGATGAGATTTAGCTAGATTATAGAGTTAATACCCAAATTCGCCTTCACCAGGTCCCACAACTGAGGTGCTCTTGGCTTTTTCAAGCTTTACTTTTTAAGGGAAAAACAAAACAAATTAAAAAACTAAAACGGATGATAAAAATAACATAGTTTTGAACATTTCACTTGAAAGCTCTAAATACAGGCTCTGGTTGGACCATGTGAATTTATGCCACAAGAGCCAGCTCAGCAAAAAAGGAAAAAAAAAAGGATATAATTTCATTAAAATTCAATTTTTACAGAAAACATAAGAATACAGTCCTGCAAGTCTAATTTACTTGTGTGGTCTTATTGCTATCAATGGGTCTATTCATGCCAGTATGGAATGAGGAATGGGATCCAAGTGAATTACATCAGGAAAATGATGAGTGCCCTAAATACCCACAGCACATATATTGTTAAAAAAAAAAGAAAAGAAAAGAAAAACAAAAACAACAACACCAAAAAAGAAAAACAATGAGACAGCTTGTTAAACAAAAATCCTCTTTCCAGATTACATAGCATAAATGGATGTTCTCAAAGGCCAGGTTTTTAATCACACACTGAAATCACAGAGTTGCCAACTTGGCCTACTAAAAAAAGATAAAAATGATTTTTATAGAGAGAACAAAAATCTAACTCATTTCACTATTTCCAGCAAAGCTTCCTGTTTCACAGAAAGTTCAAACTTTGACCCATGCATTGAATTCCTCACAGAAGCTCATAGCATCTTTCTTTGCAGAATAAATCCCTCATAAATATAGCCTTGGACAGAAACCTAAAGTTTCAAATGGTTGTTTGCAAGAAAGGGAGCATTGTAACACTGGGCTAATATTTTCAGTGTTTTAAAAGCCCAGATGTGTTCTGAACAGAATGTATCTACAAACAAGCTCCCACTTCTTATTAAAATTCAGTTTTAACTGTGACGAAAGGGTTACAAATGCTAATGTATAATTATCTAAAAGCGCTATCATATATTTACACTGGAACTTCTTACACTTTAAAATGTTACAAGGATGATTTTTCTCCTCAAAATTCATGAAAGGATGGGAATTGAGCCATTAAAATTAATAAAAAATAGCGAAATTAATTCCATAAATAGAAGAAATTAAAAGTTAATAATAATAAGTACATATCCAGAGTATTGAGTGTTGAAAACGGGTATGAGAAGCAAGAGAATACTAGAAAAGCAATGTTGCTCACCCAGTCAAAAAAAAAAAAAAAAAAGTATGGGGAAAAAAAAAGTCCTAAAACAGATGGCAAATAACAGCAGCATTTGAAATAGCAAAAGCAAGTGTTGAGAATATTTCTGTTGTTTCCGAAGAAAAATATAAATGATTTGGCCATATTCTACAATTGTTAGGAAATATTCATTTCAGGAATGCTTAAGCAGGACAGTAACATGAAGTAGCTATCATTAGATATTCTTAAATCAGCAGATAAGAACGGCTGATTTTCTTTTGAGTCTTTGAGCACTGTGGAAGTTTCAGAGAACTTGAGAGGATGCCCGCACGTACCAATATGTTTAATATACATATACTGGACAGCTTGAGTGACTACATACATAATAGCTTGACATCATCCCAAGCAGGGATCATTTGATATAGAATTCGCTAAATGAAAAGCTGAAGCCAGTAAACACAATTATTTTTAATAAAAATAGATCTTGTCAAGGTAGAAAGATGTAATTGCTTGATAAAAATAAAAGTGATGACAGTATATAGAATTCCATAGGGCATCTATAGAGTCTATAGGGAGCAGAAAGTATATAATTAAAATAATCCAAAACAAACATGATACACCCTAAAAAGATGAAAAAATGGTTAACTCACAGATCTTAAATGTAACTTAAAAATGGAGAATCATCACAAAAGAAATGATTCTAATGGGGTCCTGTGGGACTAGTTTGGCCCCATGCTACTTAAAATTTTGATTAATGACCTAGAAACAATATGTAATTATTATTGGTGAGGTTTGAAAATGATAGGGAAGCAGCAAATAATGAGGATTGATTACTAATACAGGCATTTTAGTAGGTGCTGTGAGCAAGGAAATAACAAACATTTTAATAAAAAATACAAAGTCACACATCTAGAACAAAGACTGGAGGATGAAGGATTCAGTCCTTAGGCACAACCCCCTGCAAAGGTTTATTAGCTATACAGGAGCCCACCATCTGCTATTTTAGCTTAGAGCATTAAAGGGCTAAAGTGATCCTTGGGTATATAACCAAAGAAACCTGGTAGGAGTAGGAAGGTTGTAACATCTGAATCTAGCAGTGATACAACATCTGCTGTCTCATTCTGTCCATAGCTGAAGAGGGATGTTGATATACTGGAAAAGATTCAGAAGAGATCCACAGGAATGATTAAAGGATTGGAAAACATGCCAAACAGCCAAGGAGCTCAATATGTTTTGCTTAACACAGACAAGGTTAAGAGGTGAATTGATTCCAATCTAAAAGCAGTGAAACAAGGAGAATTCTGATAAAAGAAGGCTCTTCAGCCAAGACGACAATATCTTCCAATGGCTGGAAGTTGAAGCTGGACAGTTCGAACAGTCAACCATTATAATGGCTTGCTAATAAATATTCGTTAAAAGATAAGTTCTGATCAGAACAGGATAATCCCACCCATTTGTTGTTTCTACAAAATCCTACCCAGCAGCAGCTTCTGGATTCATGAACTCTCAGTCTATGTAATAGATGCACTGGTCTAATCCTCAGGCCTGTATCCTCTGCTAAATCACCTTTGCAGTTTCTTGTTCTCGGATGAGCTGCGTAAAATGCTATTTCTTTCACGCGATGCAAACCACCCTGTTCTAGTTCTAGTTTGTGAAGGTTGACAACAGCCTAAAAAGGCCAGCAAGGGTATCTAAAAATTCAGAAGAGGATTAGGTAGGAACTATTTGCCAATACTTTGATTATTTTACCTTGCTAGTTCTCCACTCCCAACCATCTCCTATTTTCTGTGAATGTTTAATAAATTCTTCACAGTACTGCTTGAATTTTTTTTCTTCCAAAAAGAAGTCTTCTTCATAAGCCATACTAAAGGACATCTGCAGAAGAAACTAAATGTTAGTACTGATAGATAAAAATTCACTGATACGCAGCAACTAAACAGTAAAACAAGAAAACAACGTAAGAAAACTGTGTTGCTTAAACTACAACAAAGTCAGTTCTTCAGCTACAGCAGGGCAGGGACCTCTTGAGACTGTCTAGTCCAAACTCCCCCAGTCAAATTAGGGTCAACCAGAGCAGGTTTCTCAAGAGCACAACTAGTTGGGTTTTGGTATCTCCAAGGATGGGGACCTCCCACAGCTTCCATGGCAACTGTTCCAACATTCACCTTCACCGCTAAGTTCTTTCCTGTCTAATACACCGATAACATTCTCCTCAGCCTTTGGTTCCGCAGGCTGAACATCCTCACTCCTCTGTCTCCCCTTGCGTATGAGATGCGCCAGTCCCTTAAATGTCTTCTTGGGCCTTCGCTGGACTCACTCCAGTGTGTTCCTGTCTTTCTTGCACCGGGGAGTCAAGAACTGGACACAGTACGCCAGATGTGGTCCACATTCCCTTATCAGTCCATCAAAAAAGCTGAATGCCACTCGGTGGCTGAGTCTGCATGCATGGCCTGACATCTCTTCCTTGGGGAACCGGATGCCTCCACAAAGCACATGGAGAGAACTAACATCTCTGGTGGCCGAGGCCACGAAAGCCCAGCCAAAGCGGCCTCTCCTGCTCATACAGGCAGCACAGCTCATACAGGCAGCTCTACCACAATGTGCTTTAACAAGCACCTTCCTTACCGCTCACACGCTTCTCAACTCTGGTCATTAGGATCATATAAAGGCTGTATCAGAAAACCTGCCCTGATTCCTCCTTTTTTATTTTTTGCTCCCCTCTCTCCTTTCAAAGAGCATGTGTTAAATACGTGGCTGACCCAACCCTTTTGCAGACACCAGGTACCACTGCAGCACCATACAGAAATACTTAGCAGGAGCTAGAGCCGCTCTACATCTTGTTTTACCAAGAGGGCCACAACACCTCAAGCAGTGTTCATTACTTTTCAGGACGTGGCCCTCAATAGCAACTTCCTGTCTGCCCATGCCACAAATCATCTACGTAGCACTTCCAAACACACCATTTTCAATGGCAGCTAAACCAGCTAGCCAGTGTTACCTGGCCGAGGAGGAGGAAATACGGAAAACAGACTCTTATGTCCGCATTTCCCACATTTCGCAGGCCCGCATGAGGAATTGCAAAACAGCAGTAAGCACAGCGCACGTAAAGGCCCTGCAGTTCTCACACATGTTTTAAATAGAGCGACGTGTTTTAGGAAATTGGCAAATGTAAGGAGATAGCGGGCTGCTGGCAGCCGAGCGAACCCTAGTGCCGCCCTTCTCCTCCCCGAAACTCGCACGGGGAGAGCAACGAGCTTGCGGCTA